AGTTACAACAGAAAATAATCATGAAATTCAGGTTTTTGCTTGAAGAGATATGCAGGCTGTATTGTGTAATTTTTTTATTTTTTTTTTTCATTACAGGTGAATAATGTTCTAAATAAATATGAGGGAGGGGCTGGTGGAGTTCATGCATTTTTCTGATCAGTACAGTGGACTAAAAGCGCAGGAGTAAGTAAGAATGACAGATTAAACAGAAAATAGGGATAAGCCATACAAAATGTTTCTTGACTATAATTATGAGCATCACAAAAATGTACAATGAAAGTAGATCTTAGAGTAGATCTGTATATCTTACCTAAAGTGTAATGGTTAGAGCACTGGTCATTCAATATTTTTATAACATGTAAAAAAGAAATAACGAAAGAAATGACATAGATGGTCTTTAATGAAAAGTAAATGTCAAATGCCATGCTTTCTGAACGGAACATGTAATTGGCCTTTACAGAAAATGCAGCAATGGTATGATTAAAAAGTAGGTTTAAAATCTACTAGAAATTAAAAAAGTTGCCAGTGATTAAGTTTGAAAGTTTACATTGATAGCAATATATTTCTCTCTTGTAAAAAAGTAATAACAAAAATACTGAACTCCAAGGTAAATTAAAAAAATGGGGAATCAATAAGACCAGACAAAACCAAATGTTAAGACTACATCAACCAAAGAAAGGAATGGAAAACAACTGTCATATTCATGACTTGGTACAGGTAATTTTTTGGTTTACAAGTACGAAAAAAACTATAAAGTTATCGAAACACATACTTTGCCTGCACCTTTGTACATTCTAAAATTGCAGTTATCGTAGAATAATGCAAGCATTAGGATTTATTTCTATCTGTTTTATACTTTTTGTAGGAGAGAGATAGTAGAAGAGAAGCTAAAAGGAAACAGCCAAAAATGAAGATGATGAAAGTGAAGCCCATGTAGAAATGTCATGTGACATATTGTTTGACCTTGTAGAAATGTGAGTGTGACATAGAGTATGGCTATGTAGAAATATCTCTGTGACATAGCCTTTAGCTATGAAGTAATATCAACATGTCTTGATGTATAGCTTATTTTATTGTCCTAATACACATAGATTTTTATCCTGTTTCATATTGCTTTCTATTCATATTCCTGAACATGGTTTATTTCTAATCAGTGAAAATTCATTTCATTGCAGCTACAACTTTTTGCATTTTTGACTGTTTTATCATAGACACATATATTACAAAGAAACACTTTGAGACAGTAATGATTTGTGTTGGATAAAGTGTTATGAGTTAGTTGTTCCTTGTAATATTCAGAACTGATGATAAGTGTCATAATAATATATGTATGTCTTTTTGTTTATAGTCTACAATAAATGTGATCAGAGATTTTAGAATAAAAAATATTTTACATGTGTTCATTAATTAGTTATCTCAATACAAAAAAGAAAAAAAAAATCATCTTTGATCTGCATTAGTAGTATACTGTATGTTTGTGCTGATCATAATATCAATATTCCTAATATGGCAACAAAATTAAAAAAAAAACTTGTTGAAAATAATAAAAGAGGGTCAAAATTTATAAACTACTGTTGTTTACAATATTGATAAGAACAAGAACACTTGAGATGAGTTAAAATAAGTTAAAATATTACAGAATCTTTACTTAAAAAAATTTAGACGAATAAAAATATTTTGAAAACAAGGTGTCCATTCCCCAAGCGCCTGTGAAATAAGTAATTAGACAAAAATTTAGAAACTGTTTTGAAAATTACCCGAAAGACAAATTACTAGCAATTTATTTCATTTATGATTATATTTAAGGTTAATGGTCAATGACCCTATTTGCCATCTTACATGGCCAGCACCCTTGCTAGAAGTAGAAAAAAAGGCCCAAAAAATAACTAAAAAATTCATGTGAAAGATTAATCGCTACCTAACTTATGTTAAACCTCAACAATGTTTAAACATGGCTGTGTTTCTGGAATGGTAGAAATATAAAAACAAATGCTAGAGAAGGTGGTGAGGTACCAATTGCTACCAAAATGTGGCTAATTTCATATTAATACATACATGGTCCTCTTTTTTGGATAATTGCTTCAGAACAGCTTTAAAGACTTTATAGTTTGTTCTTATGTTTTGCTGTTACACCACTATCCTAGGTTAGGGGAGGCTTTAGTGCCAGCAAACATGTTTAACCCTGTCCTTTCTGTTTGTGCCTTTCTTAAGCCAGGAGCCTGCAATTCAGTGGCTGTTGTCTATGGCTGTATATCATACTTGTATTTTTCATTAATTTTTTTTGTACATAAATCAGATTGTATAGTCTTCAACAATGAGAAAAACCCATACCATATAGCCTGCCATAAAAGGCCACTAAACTGTAGGCTCCCCACTTGACAGGCACATAACGTGGTTCTGGGACAGTAATGTAACGACATAACTCTAGAACAAACTATACAAAACAATAAACAAAAACAAATATAAGAAACAGCAATTCACAACAACCACTCAATTACAGACTCCTGACTTGGGACAGGCACATATAGGATGTGGCTAGGTAAAACATGTTTGCTGTCACCAAACCCTCCCCCTAACCTGAGATAGTTATGAAGCAGTTCAATATAAGAACAAACTATAAAAATTAATTGAAAAGGGCTTCACTCAGCAGATCGAAACAAAGCAGAAAAACATCTAACAAAACACAGACCGGATGTGGCAGGGAATTTATACACCCCTCACAACAAAAAATACACAAAGTAAAGATCTGAGAGTACTTGCAGTTACTGACAGCTATTTCCAAGCCAATAACAACTAATAAAATATCATGTATTGACAATTGGCAAATATCCAGGTGAGCAAGATAGGCTTTTATATATGATATTTCTTTGCAATTACTTTAGTATCTTCTTTGAAATAACATGCCTTATGACTTCCTATGCTTATGAAAAGTGTTTTCACTTTATATTGCTATAAAATGGATACATTTTGTATGTAACAAGCAATTACAGCTAAAATATACCACAATTTTATTATAGATTGAGATAATGTTGAATATTTTGTTAAATGAATGAGATTTTGACCTCCCTCGACAGAGATGTGCATATGGAATGAAAGTTCAGTGCAAATGAAAGAGAACTACAGTTAACAAACTTCATCAATTATTGTGTTACCAAGGCATATATTTGTCAGTGTTTGCTGTGATATTCAGTTATCGACATATCCAGAAACTCTGTTTTTTACCAAAATTTTTGGAATTTTGGGTCCTCAATGCTACTCAACTTCTTACTTTATTTGACATTTCAACATTTTTTATTAGAGCGTCACTGATGAGTCTTTTGTAGACGAACCACGCGTCTGGCGTACAAAATTATAAGCATGGTATCTTTGGTGAGTTTTTTTTTGCAACCAATGGGTTGATGGCACTGCTGGTGGAGATTTCCTCCCCAAGGATATCACTGGCCCAGTTGTCAGCACTTCTGTGTTATCATGAATTATCATTGATACGGTGATATTAATAAATTAACTGTTTACAAAACTTTGAATTGTTCGAAATACTAGCGATTTTCTACCCCAGAAATAGATTATCTTAGCTGTATTTGGTAAAATCTTTCTGATTGTTTGGTCCTCAATGATCTTCAACTTCGTTCTTTATTTGTCTTTATACTTTTTTTATTAGAGCGTCAATGACGAGTCTTTTGAAGACGAAACGCGCGTCTGGTGTCCAAAATTGTCAGCCTGGTATCTTCAATCAGTTTTTTTTAACCACGAATTATCATTGATATGGTAATATTAACAAATTAACTGTTTACAAAACTTTGAATTTTTCGAAATACTAATGATTTCCTAACCCAGGAATAGATTACCTTAGTTGTATTTCAATTGGTAAACTCTTTATGAATATTTGGTCCTCATTGCTCTTCAACTTAGTACTTTATTTGACATTTATTTTTTTAATGCCCCCGCCGTACGTGAAGGGGGCATTAGGTGTTACCTTTGACCGTCCGTCCGTCCTATTTTCGTTTCCGCACTCTAACTTAAGTTTGTCTCATCCAAATTTTATAAAACTCATACACAATGCTTAGAACCACAACAAGCAGACAAAGCTCGAATTTGGGTAGTGAATCATTTACCGTTCTAGAGTTATTCTACTTTTTATCTTGGAAAATTTCAAAGTTTGAGCGGGGGCATTCGTGTCCTCAAACGCATTCTTTATTTATTTATTAGAGCGTTACAGTTGAGTCTTTTGTAGACGAAACGTGCGTCTGGCTTACAATATTATAAGTCTAGTATCTTAGATGAGTTTTATAGGTAAATGTAGGAAAGCACTTCGGACGCATACAATTTATAAAGAGTTATTTTCATTTTTTAACACTTCGTCGATACTGGTGCTGGTGGACTATTAGTACCTGAGGGGATCATCAGCTCAATAGTCAGAACTTTGGTACTGACATGATTTATACCATACAATTCTTAAATTATTCGTTTATAAATTTATAAAACATAAAGACATGTTGAATTTATAAAGAAAATAATGTTGCAACTCCCTCAGCCGGTAAGCAGAAACTACTGGAACTTTGTTTAGAGGACATGAACCTTAATTTGAAATCGGAAAAAAAGTTTTAAATTGTATTAAAAAAAGGAAAGACGATCAATTCACACGAATAAGAAATTGGATTGTATTAGGGTAACCTATCATTCATGTACTTCGAACAAAGGACAAATAACCTTGTATTGAAAAATCGAAATGCTGTACTGGAAAAAAATTATAATTAGGTATCTTTGGCAACTGACCAATAAAAAGAATTGCATAATATTGACAGGTTTATGTATTTCTTTTATTTTCTGCAGATAAAGGTCGACCATGTTTCAATGATTACTGACAATGAAATTATCCGTTACCAAAAGTAAAATTATACGTTATTGAAATTAAAGGAATCGTGTCATAAACCATTAAACATTTGTAGGATCTCCGAGGGTCAATCAATATCCACAAAGACAATAAAATTATACTAAGAACATTCTACTTCATATTTGTACAAAGAAATAAGCATTAAAGGTAAGTTTTCGAAATTCAGTTTCCATATGCAGCTTAACATATGACTGCATAATACATGTAATTCTTTAATCAAGACTTTGTCGAATTAAAATTTAAAGGAAAGGATATAGCGATGACGTATATGTAATTATTCATGTGAGATTAATAATAGTAAAAGTTCATCAATTGAGTATATATTTTACTTTACAATTCTGTATACAGTTATCACTACTGTCGTGACTCTGAAAACTTTACCATCTGTTAGTGGAAACAAATCCAATTCTGGAGAAAATCGAGTGCGCCCTAAGAATGAGCCAACTGCTGTCAAATTATTTGTAACCCCCACAGAAAATCAACAGTTTGTAAGTGTTTATCATTTGATCAATGTCTTCCATTATGTTTTTTTTCAAATACATAGAACTTTGGCAAATTCGTAAAAAAATTATACAACAATACAGTATACAGAGGATACAAGTAAAAACAGTAAATATTTGTTTACTTCGGTAACCATAGTATTAAAAAGCCTTAATTATGTATGCTTTTAAATTATCTGTTTTTGTTGCAATTCAGTGTTTCTTTTGTTCCGTATTTGATGTGTTTCCCTGGGTTTCAGTTTGTAACCCGGATTTGTTGTCTCTTAATCGATTTATGACTTTTGAACAGCGGTATACTACTAATGCCTTTATTTAAACCGCTTATTATATGAAATATACCTGCGAATGCGTGTACATATATGTTTTGCTTTCATCGTTTATCGATAACACTGCAGTTAGAACGTTTGTTAAAACGGAAAGTATACAGTTGTATAATCAATTTTCCAACTTAGATATTCGTCTCCAATACACAAACTTGACAGTTCTCTGTTGACGTACACTTATATGAATAAAAATACGGCATTGTGCTTAGAATAAATATTCAATTTTAACATTATAGAATTAGTTTACTCAAAACTATTACAGCTTACTTTTCTCCTCGATTGTTATATTCAGAAGGAAAATAATAAGATTATACGACAATTATGTTTTGATTGTTTTGAGTTTTGATTATCTCTATCTACAAAACTTATAATAAAAAGCGCTCGACCTCCCCCTTTGCCGGAGACCTATCACCTGTATATATAAGCTCTACACTAACAGTTCTTTGCAATATCGATGTGAGCCAGTAAAAATATAAACACATATGAAGCCGATCGGAAGTTGCTTTAAACAAAATTGTAAAACAAAAGGGTTCAGTCTTGATTTCTTAATAGATTCATCAAACCTTTTATAACACCAGGGTTATAGCTTAACATTAAAGTACAATGTCTTTTGGAACGCAATAGGATATCTTTTAACGGAAAATCACAAAATTAATTCGACAAATTGACATAAAAATACTGAAAAAATACTCTTAAATCTCCTTTTGGTGTTTGTATTACTTAATAAGCATTTTGCAATAGACTTGGTTTTGTAAAACACGTTATAGTGTCGCATATCATATTATTCTACTTTGTTGCAATGTTGATATTACTGGTAACACGATTAAATGTTAAGTTTTCAGTTTTGTCAAGAGGCGAATACAGTAGCCTCGGAAAATGACAGCAGTTATTATAAGTTTGTGTTTTCCAATGATTGCTATTTTCGGTATAATTTTGTAGAACCATATGGGAGTACAGTTGTTGCAACTGATACGTAATGGTAATACAAAACAAGCATTAGAACTGATTGGTCAAAATGCAGATGTATCTTTTTGTGACCAGGTAAGAATGATATATACGTGGATTTTAGTGAATATTCCTAGAAATGCTTTTTATTAGATTTCCATAATCAAACAAACATTGATTTTTTGGTATCTTTTAGTTGCTGTTATTTCATTAGCATATATCCTCTGACCCCACTTTTCATTTTACTCATAAGTTTTAAGTCGCAATACGAGGAAAAGTTACACATTAGAAGCAAATAAGAATAATTCGCTTTTAAAGCCCACTTGCAAACCTGTGTTTCACAAATGTCGTAACCAGTCGTAAATACTGATTATTACATGACCGTAAATCGAAGATATTTTGTGAATCGAATGCTAATAATATGTTTGAAAAATGCCTCATTTTTGTATTTTGCTTCCAAAGTGTTAAAAAAATAGAATTAAATCCCAATATCAACTGATAATTAAACCACGTTTTCGATCAGTTCACGTGAAACGGATGAAGCATAAAGACGTCATAAGCAGACATGACATTCTGCAATACCAACATATAAGTATCGACATGTTTTACAGGTACAGCCAAACTTCAAAACCAAATCTTTGTTTCTATGAAATAATTAATGAAACTTTTAAGTAGTTTGTGAATGGTAACGAAATCTCTAACTTAGTATTTTACCAGTTATATACAAGTATATATATTACGTAAATTGAAATCGAAAAAACGTCGTTACAGACATGGACATAACAAACGAGCTGTGAAAATTACACCCCGAACAAAAATGCCGAAGTAAGGTGTCAAAATAACATTACTGCCTATAAATAAGGAAGATTAACAATAATGAACGAAAAAGCGCCTCTCTTGTCAAAAATTTTTGTTGAGAGTCCTTTCTGGTTTTTGATGCCCCTGAACTATTGGTCCCGACAACACCCGATAAAAGGTTATTCATGCGCATATAGGTACTGAAATCCAAAATGCATGTGCTTATACACAGTTTATACATATAGCGTCTAAATAATAAATTCTAGATATTTGTTATAATATTCAAAATTGTTTACTTATTTTAAACATTGACTGATTATAGGCTGGATGGAGTGCTATGCATCATGCAGCTTGTAATGGATTTGTAGAACTATTAATACAGCTGAGAGAGAACGGAGCTTCAGTTGACGCCTTAGATTATGTAAGTACTGAATGACAAAATTAGAGCGTTTATAGGTAAATATTGGACTAACCTTATAGAAGTCTATACTGTCTCAGAACGTGTAGCATTTGAATTATAATACTTTTACTTTTCAAAATGATAATTAAAAATTTTCAATCCATAAAAGATATTGTAATCGTTAGCAATGCACATAGTTAGTTAAATAAATCAATTACCTAGCAAATGACTCCTGAAACAATATAAAATTTTAATGAAAACATTTATATATTGTAACATAACTATTTATTTCAGTCGAATGAGACACCATTACACAAGGCGTCGAGGAAGGGTCACGCTGAAGCGGCTATATTACTCATTACGTTTGGCGCAGACTGTAGTGCTTTAAACAGTGTAAGATGCTATTAACCTGTTTAATTCATGCAGAAATGTCAGTTATATGTAAAATTAAGTGTTCCTTTATTTTACTAAATGTGTTTCATTTTATCAATGTATTACACAGCAAAACTTTCATCTCTATTTATATATAAATAAGAAGATGAAGAATAATTGCCACTGAGACGACCAAATGACGTAGATATAAAGAACTATAGGTCACCGTTAATTGGATTTTCAACGGTTTTGACTAAAGCATTTTTTGGGGATAAACTGGTGTGAGCATTTATGTGTTTTTTCAATTATGAGATGAATAATATTTGTTTTCTCTCATCATATTGCAAGAAAAAAAAACAACAATATACTTGTGTTTTATGTTTTTTCTATACTTAGAATGGAGAAACTGCATTAGAGCTTGCGGTGAAAGCCGTCCAAACTACAGTTGTAGAAACTTTATGCATGCTTGGAGTTGAAGTTTTGTTGCAAGACTGGGTTTGTACAATTCAAACGTAATCTTAAATTGGTAGTTTTGTACACAAATTTGAGTCATAATATATCCCGAAGTAAAATTTTAATATAAATACAATAAACAGAATTCAACTAATATGCAAAAATGCTAATATTTGCCTTCAAGCAACATGTTTTCGTTAATGACAGTTTTTGAAACTCCATGATGATATGACATGTTTGTCAGCCTAAGAAAATGACACAATGGTAGCGGAATAATTCTCCAACCTTACAGCACTTCTTATCGTCAATTTTTAGTTCATAAATCGTGTACTTACACGTATGTAAAGAATACCGTAGACGAGTTTTGTTGTTCTGAAGACACTTTAAAAAATGATTGTCCTCCATGTTTTATGTACTTTACGCCCAAACTTCCGGTCTTGGAGTCTTTCCTGAAATACTTGTCAGTGCACACTGAAATCGCTATCACGTTATTAACTTTAATATTTCAGTATGTACCAAAAGGGGCATTAGCTGCCAAATTCATGCCCATCGAATCGATTCAAACTCTCACATTTGATATACCGGGTAATATAACTAAACCTTAAGTCAGAACTACAAACGTTCCATTGAAAACAACACCAAACTGTCTGCTAATAGCGAATTATTATATCAATATCCCGTTTTTATAAATGTTTGAGACCAAAAAAGTCATACTTTCATTTTTTGTCTAAATCTAAGCTAATTCCCCTTTGAATGTATCGTAAGGTTTTATATTGATTTGAACGTTGCACATACATTCAGCATTCAGTAATAAACTTAATATCCATCCCCTTATTTATTACTAATATCTCATTTGTTATGCAGAATACCTTTAGGAGCACCTTTTCTATAAGAATTGAATGAATAATCTGCCAATTTTGAGCAAAATGAATATTATTTGCGTAGCATATTCTGCATTAAATTATGCTTCAATTCTTACTTTCTTGCCACTTAAACTCACAAAATCTGCATTCATTCCTATATTTGCATTAACAAAATCAACAATATAAACTTATGTAATAATAATAATTATTATAATTTTATTTTATTTCAGTCATGGTCGATGATTGACGAAAACGAACTCAGTAAGAAACAGAAGAAAATTATAGAAATATTGCTTAAGCAGCATTCTCGCAGTTCTGGATATACACAAAAGTAATTTTCTTTCTTGTCTTACAAATTGGGATAAAAGTGACACACAGACACCAGAAAATCACCTGTGTATTGAAGAAACAAATATATCATGTGTGTTTTTCAAGAGACATGGGAACAAACTGTGCTCCTCTTTTTTCTGACTTGTTATTTTATGTTTATGAGTCAGACGTCATACAGGAGTTCTCAAAGAGAATGACAAAAGACTGTCTTGGTTATTTAACTTCACGTTCCGCTTAATAGATGATGTCCTCTTTATTCTTTATTATTTTAGTTCTCCCAAGTCAAAGTGAACTGCCTATTTAAGCAGTTCATTGTCAGTTTTATAGCAGTTCCTTGAATTTTTAGCTGTTTTGGGGCAGTACAAAGCAGTTTTGATTTAGGCAGTTTAAAATAACTGCCTAAAAGTAAAAGATAGCAGTTAATTTAAGCAGTTTAAATATTTCAAAGCGGTTTGATGAAGGTTATAATTGTCTGCCAGCTAAGGTTGGCAGTTATTTTGATAAAATTAGCAGTTTGATTTGTAAATTATTTCTTGGCAGTTGCATCAAACAGAGTAAATGTGATTTAGATCAAAGTGGTCTTGTAGAAATGAGCCATCTGTTTACAATTGATCTCTGTGGTGGACACAGGAAGTACTATCTTCACTGAAATTTAGGGCACACGAAGAAGAACACTTATCTTAATATATTGTTTGGCAATTACTACCACTTTTAATAAAAATGACTTATTTAAACAAAAATGGATATTTTTTCTTAATATTATTTCTTACATTTTAAAGATTTAGGCACTTAATTGCTAGTAATCTTTAAGGGTCCACTTCAACAGAATCAAACAACTCCTTTAACATCCCAATGCATTGCAATATCATAAAATTTGAATTTGGAATACAGGAGGACAACATGAAAGATGTGTCTTCTTACATGAACAAAATGAAATTTTACTTGGGATATACTATACTTGGAAATAGTTCTTTTCACATTGAATATTAAAGATGGGCCTTGTCTCAATGGCAATTTGTGAAGATTATATTCATATTAATTGTGTGAATTTTGGATTACATCTTATTCAATTCTGGTAAGTGCAAATAATTGGATTCTATATTATTTTGATTTTTTGAAATTGTTTTTTCAATGTTTTATTCATCATAACAAAACAATAATGACAAGTATGATATATTTATCTATAATAGCTTAATTCTTATTTTCGCTCCTCATAATTGAGACAGTCCAGCTGGTTTACTTGTCATGTATTTATAAAGATTATATTAGAATAAAATTGATTCAGTTTACAAATATACTTAATCATATTAATATTGAAGAGTCTCCTTATTAATCAGATAATATAACAAGTAATTAATTTCAAGTATATCATTGTGTATAAGATTGCATGAATCTTGATTTCCATTTCCATTATATCAGATGACTTAATTGAAACTTTAATTACATGTTGCACCTCTGACATCAATATTTAATTGTAATACATAAAAGCTAAACATATTAACCATGAATTTGGATAACATAGAACATATATTTTTGGTTTTGATAATTATTCCATGTTATTGTTACTTTTTTAACAGTTACTAGTATAAATAATGCATAAGATCATGACCATATTTGCATTTTACTTAGCAGTTATTTCCCAGTTTAATATGAATATTAATTAACTAGAAGCAGTTTATTATGAATATTCATGAACTGAAAGCAGTTTTTAGTACCTAATTTAAATATTTCGTGAAAATAACTGCTAAGAAACTGTCAAAAGCAGCTAAGGAACTGCTTTGAACTGCCAGAATAACTGTGAAGGTTTAGGAAAACTGCTTATTTTTGTATATGAAGTAACTGGTTAATATTTGAAGGTTAAGAACTGCCAAGCATCAGAAACTGCTAAATATGTGAACTTGGAAGGCTAAGAAACTGCCAAGAAACTGCCTTCCACTTTGACTTGGGCATTTTCCTTTCCTTAATGTGTTCAATACAATATTATCTTGGTAACAGTGTATGTGTGCCGCCCCTATACTCTTATTGAGGTGGGGGCATATAAATTGTCTTTTTGTTGCAGAACAATTCAGTTTGAAATAGTTTATCTAAAAGCCAGAGAAAACAAATGCCTGGATAAGCTAGGTGTGGAGATAATTGGTAATGATGATGTTGAAGACGTAAAAGACATTGAAAATGATGGCATGGATGGCGACGGTTTTTTTCTTTATTGTGGTAAGATGAAGTCAGAATACTTTGATGTCACGAACAGCCCTAAAGACAACAATGAAATTGTCAGTGATATTTATGAATGCAGACTGTGGTGTAACAAGCGGAAGACCCTGAGACTGAGTGTACGTCTGAACACTGTTCTCGCAAGCAATGAGAATCTCGTTATAATGTCCCCTGCTGAAAAGATCGGACGAATAGATTGTATTGACAAGTTTACCGAACACAAAAACCAATCTAAACATGTGAGTAATCTAAAAAGCGGAATTGAACAGAAACTTTGTATCATTGTTAATTTTAGAAAAGAAGGATTGATAGAATGTTATCACGACAACGAAAGAAGTAAGCAAAAGGCCAGTCATGAACATATCAAGCAATAAACAGAGAGATACTAGGTGTGAAACAAATTTATGGAGAGAATACAGAGAGAACGTGACAAAATAAAATAAAAAAATATATGTATTTAAATAGAAGAAAGAAAAATAAGATCTCACTAAACATTGATAAATTATGTTTTCTTTGGGTGCGTATCTATTCCTTAGCTGGTTATTTGGGTTAATTGTTGAACATTTTTAAAAGGTTATCAGTTAAACGTACGCCATCATAATTTGGTTGACACTTATGGAATATCTGTATCAGAGATGACCACTGATCGTTTCCAATTGTAGTAGCCACTATCCTGTCCTCTTTATCTCGATTGTGACGTCATCGAATGAACTTGTCATCGACTTTTTTTTTGCCATGAGCAACATGCACACACTAGAAATTTGTGACACTGTTGGACTGAAATTACCATATTATATTACTGCGTTCATTTGGGATTAAAATGAGCTTAAATGTGAAAAAGGTAGAAGATTTAGAAGAGAAAGGGAGCATCAACCATTTTAAACTTTGACCCCTTTCATGTTAGGACAAATACTAGCTTATAAAATAAGAAACATTGATCCCATTTTGAATTTCATTTTTACCCTTACTTTTTCAGTATTCTGTGGCATGTGTCACTATAAGTGTTAAGACAACTTCAGTAGCATTCTACTTTGGAAAACAAATAGAGCCGGAAAAGTTCAGCATCGGATCGGAAGCTGTAACACTGAAGCCAAAAGGAGAACCTGAAGCTGAAATAAGTATTCCAAAAGGTTCATTTGAATCAGGAGAAATGTCTTTACAGGTAGACATTTATACTATTTGCTACCATGGGATTGCATATATTTATTCCAATATATCTTTGACATTAAGTGAGAAATTTATACTGAATCTGAAACAATTCTTATTGGTTAGCCACCAATTACTAAAATTGAAGCTATTTTATTTTAAATATACTGACTAATCGGTAAGGCATTTCAGTCATATGCCGGAGTAAGGATCATCAAACAATTTTTAGGAAGGCAGCACTATAAATTACCATTTGAGCCTTTCAAAAGTTAATACTCCCAAATTTATACATAATAGTTGAATTTTGTTTTATATTTTAGATGAAATTTTAAGTCGAAAGGTAAATTCTTAAGAATGGTATCGCATCACTTAAAAAACGGAAAAGACCAATCTGATTTAAATACAGATCATGCTTTGCTAGCAAGGATCTAAAAACGCTCCGTTTTACTTTCTGTTTTTGAAGACCTATAGGATCCTCCGGTTTTATCGGATTAATACACACCTTCGAAAGTTTGAAGGCTGAAATTTCATTGGCTGCTGTAATAGTGACCAGAACAGAAAGTAAAACGGAGTGTTGTCAGATCCTTTTTAGCAAAGCTTGGACACAGGATTTGTATTTTGATCAGATTGGAAAAAGACATATCATTACAATATTTTTTTGGGGGGGGATTACATTTTTATTTACGCATCGTATATTTTCTCTAAAAAACGTCACTTTTGAGATTATAAAGGAGAATTGTTCTTAAAAATCCACCAAATTTCATTTTTCCTGTGTCACAATAAAGAAGAATCAAGATTCTACAGCCAAAGTTAATACATAAAAATATAAAAACTGTTGGAACCTTGTAGTTTGTGCAGCTTCAATCGTTTCCCCCAAATAATTATATCATATTTTTAAAAAGAAGTTATATTTAGATTGTTGATACAAAAGAAGTGAACAAAGAAGAAAAAGAAGAAGGATCAGGAGATTTGTTGACAACAAACATAGTCGACATATCTATGACTGATGGTCAGCAACCAAAGAAAGAAATTGGTATAAAAATTCCAATCCATCACAAGTTGTCTGAGGATGATGCCGTAGTTATACTGGGAACGTCTTGTGAATCACCTTGTTCTGTTGACGATTGGGAAGTTATGGAGGCAGAAATGGACGAATCTGGCAAAGCTGCTATTTTTAGGATACGTCATTTTTCTATGTATGAAGTTTTGGTTAAAGTATCTTGAGTAAAAATAATTATATATTTTGTATCTGAAAGTGTTTAATTTAAAAAAATACAGACAGTTTGGTTTAAGTAGATAAAAAGAGTTGCGTAAAGGAAGGCATTCCAACAAGTAAGATAATGATAAGTAATTTTGAACAATATCTCTTCCTTTGATTATATCAAAGATTTATACTTAGTACGTCTAAACGTAAACCTTTCCCCCGTTAAAACAGATAAAGATATATATGAACCTGGACAGTGCAATTTTACCGATTTATATAGAGTAATTATTATTTTAGAAAGAAGTCTTTGTGTAGATAAAATTCTATGTATTTGTTCTTGTATGTGTTTTAAAGCTATGCTGGTTCATCAAAAGAAAAAGTGAAAGAAGACTTACCTGGTATTGTCGATGCTTTGGAGAGATCTATAAACCGACAAAGAAAGATTGAATTCATCTTGCTAACAAAATGGGTAAACGCTAACACTTTACTCTTGGTGATTGAAGGAACTGCTGCCAGGAAATCAGACAGTAGAATAAAATATTGGGCAAGACAAGGGTATAATGAAAAATCATTGAAAAGAAGCCAAGAAAGTCGTGTCAAAAATGGGCAAAGATATATGGTAAATTTTCATTTGATTTAAAAAAAGCTTATAGATAGTAAGTAGGTAACTCTGCTTTTCTACCTCAGGAATAGATAACCTTAGATGTATTTGGCTAAACGTTTAGGAATTTTTGGTTCTCAATGCTCTTTAACTTCGTACTTTATTTGGCCTTTTAACATTTTTTGATTCGAGCGTCACTGATGAGTCTTTTGTAGACGATACGCGCGTATGGCGCAAATACTAAATTTCAATCCTGGTATCTATGATGAGTTTATTTAAAGCAATTTTCAAATCAAAGCTGCAATATTTCACTTCATGTCCAGCTAAGAAATTTCAGAACTTTTCCCGATCAGGTATCTGAGTAGCTGCGGAACCGTAACTCATAGGTCCTTATGATAGTTTTTGACAATTTGCGGTCTATGGTCCACAAATTGTAAAAAAAAAAATCATAAGGACCTATGAGCAACAGTTCCGCAGCTAGTATCTGAGATACAATATTTAGGAATATTCAAAGGAATATCGATCTCTTATCATCGGATGCATCAAATTTAAAAAGAGTTATTTTCATGTTTGTTTCATGTGATCAACTACATTGTGTTTTAGATAGAATGATAATCTTTTTCTAATTTTGAATATATGTGTTTTGTGTCTTTTTAAAAAAGTTTTACCGTGAACCGAGAAAAGGGAAAACCATTATTAATCGCTAATACAAACACGGAGAAATGTGCACAAAAATTGTTTTCATTTACACAAACAAACTGGTACTTATACTATTATGCTTTATATATGACACTATTAACTATATATTTTAGATTCAAGTTTCAGTCCTTAAATATTTTACAAATAACTGTAAATATGTGCAATGATTAAAGATTACAGTCTCTCATCATAAGATTTGGCGATATTTTAATGCAGTATGCATTCGTCCATTGATTATGACAGATTTGTCTGGAATGCTTTATTGTATTGACTGAACATAGCTGGAATTATACCTAATTAATTTAAGTTATGCAATTGGCATACTTTATATTTTAAAAGATCATCATTTCTTATATTTATTCAAAAATCAGCGTATTCTCACAATAATCACAGCTTAATATCTTTCACGTTTGTGCAATTATTTTTTTTTTTATTTTCTCAGTTTACCTTTTTTGGAAACCTCGTAGAAGTATCAAGAGAAGAGAGTTTTGCTTTAATTTACCAAAACAACAGGGATAATTTCCGGATGTTTAATATCTGTTTAGATGACCCCAACAAAACATTAACTGGAGAAGTCGAAATATCCCTTGAAAATGAAGTTGAGCGTACAATACCATTGAAGAAGAGTGGTTTATTTTCCTGTTGTAGTGCTCAAAGAGTAAAGAAAATTACAAATATTGAGAATGCAAGCTTGCAGACCATTTCTTATGAGGTCATAAAACCAAAAGGTAACCAGATTAAATCACGACACAAGAGATGGAATGTTTTCCAAAGTTAATTTGGAAGGAGTCAGTTCAAAGGTCTCATAAGTCTGAAAAATGAAAAAAAAAAGAAATCGTTCTGAAGAGAAAGCCATGATTCTATTATGTATGATATACCGTGCATACTCCTTTCAAAATTATTTGAACCAAGGGGATGATTGAGACGATAAAATTGAAATTGTCCAGGTAATGAAAAGGCATGACACGAGGTCTTTGATAAGATAAGTACATAGAAAAAATACGAATACTAAATTTTGTCACAGCTTCTACGCCACAAATTATCAAAATCTACTTTATTTTGAAGTACGAATCAACAACCATGACAAAACATAATCCTTTTCGTTGTACAATAACATTAACAGTACCAATTTTACTGCAGCAGATGCGCATTTCGACAAGAAATGTATCTTCAGTGATGCTCGAGGCCATAATATTTGAAAGTCCAAAACCTAGTACAAACGTTGAAGAGCTGACGAAACATTAAAAGAACGAAAGTAAAGTCAAACCCGGAAAAAGGATAAGGGCTATGAATGAGGGAGATCCATTCCTTATTTAAAAGTTTTCAAAATTTTATTACAACCAATTTTATAACAATATCCGCATTCCATGACAGTGCCGAAGTACTGCTACGTCATAAAATTATAGCAAACATCATGTTGTCCTACACGCTTTATATCAGCCGCTGAACTTCATAGAAAATTTCATAAAGCAACTTCATCTACAGCAGGGTAGGCACGATATTTGGCAATGCCTACAACAAACTGGAAATACATGAAATACAAACAATGGACAAGCTTCATATGCATGTGCTTACATTTATTTTTTAATGATGCAAATTGCGTTTGGTAATTGTTCGATCCATTTTTTTGAACGATCTTTATGTATATAAAATCTATACTTTTCGTATACAGCTTGCTTGTATTTTGTTGTATAAAAGAAATGAAATCTTATTTCTTATCAACCTTTTTGTAGGACCAGTTAAACCAGGTAAGAATAGCTTACGTAAGTTATATTTCTTACAATAGCCAATACTTTGCTAACATTATTTGTACAATAAGACGATCATTGTTGCTACGGACAAGTTAAGCAATATATTTCGATATAAAGTTATAAGAGAAGATACACTTTCCAAAAAAATTATAGTAAACTAACAAACTAGCCAAACTGCTAGCAGAAAACTCAATATCTTGACCCCCCCCCCCCCCCCCCCCCCCCCCCCCAATTTGAATAGACATAACATAGACCATGACAAAACTTCAACTGTTTCGGTTTTAATATACCGTTGGCTTTTAAAATATTCGTCTTTTAGCGTTTATGATGAAGGTAAATCCAGAAAAGGTCTTCACACGCATATAATTTATATAGTGTTATTTTTCATTTTTTTTTTCAAAATAAATCTATAAACGTGTAATACAAAGTTTTGATCAAGTTATGTATGTCGTACTTCTGCTGCAAAAGTTGTTGAGTAATAAAAATATTAAAGTCAAACGTAACGTCACTGCAAACACGCACTATCGAACCAAGTGAGCAAGCAATTAATCCAATATGATACCTCAAGACGAGAGAGTTTAACAATAAAAAAGGAAGTTAAGAAAACAAATGAAAAACAAAAAAACAATATATAGAAAGATGTCCCGCTTATCATACATTTTGGCAAGAATATAACCATGAGAACTTCGAATATGCAGTCCCTTCAGCGATCTTCAATCAGAAGTCACGGATGACTATTTTATGTATCATTTTTTTCTTCTAAAAAATATCTGAATGATTTTATTGAAACTTGCTTGCATTCATTCTAATTAAATTGTTTACTGTACTGTAAATGTAATAAAGCCATGCGAAATTCGTTTACACGTATGAAAATGCAGGAAAATCAAATTCGAAATTCATAATTCGTCAAAGGAAAGAGAACACCACATCTAAAAGGAAAAAATAGAGAATAACCAAAAATTATCCCTTGCAAATAACACTGAAAATTGAATATTGAACAAAAACAATCCCAACTAAAGTTCGAGGATGAACTCCAGAAGGTTTGGAATTTGTTGCTTTACTAGTGGAACGTGCTCCTCATAAAAAAAACTAAACATATGGTATTTCACATCAGTCAACTTGGAATGATGGGAGTCCGTAATACTTGTGAAAAGTACTTATACTTTATCATTAAATGCATGTCCATGGTACGGCAGCGTCCTTGCAAACATCAACTTGCTATCAAGAATATCCTGACATGAAATGACAAGCTTCATATGCATGTGCTTACATTTTTTTTTAATGATGCAAATTGCTTTTGGTATTTGTTCGATCCATTTTTTATATATATACTTATCGTATACAGCTTGCTTATATTTTGTTGTATAAAAGAAATGAAATTTTATTTCTTATCAACCTTTTTGAAGAACCAAATCCACCTAAACCAGGTAAGAATAGCTTACGTCAATTATATTTCTTACAACATCCAATACTTTGATAACATTGTTCGTACAATCAGAAGATCATTGTTGCTACTGACAAATTAAGCAATATATATTTCGGTGTATAGTCATAAGAGAAGATACACTTTCAAAAAGGTATTAGTAAAGTAGCCAAAATGATAGCAGAACATTCAATATCTTGACCCCCCCCCCATTTGAATAGACATAACATAGACCAGATTACTTGTATTGGACAGCTGATGCACAATAGCATTGATGTTGACTCATTTATTTTCGTGGATACAATTTCTAGTTGATTGAGAAAAAACTCTGGTTTTAACAAATTTCTGTACACAAACTAACATGATTTTTTTTATTTCGTGGTTTACACAATGCATTAAACCCACATAACCCCCGAAATGTAGTAACCCACTAATAATAGTGCATTCACGGTATAAAAGAAAGATTCATCGATTGATTCGGAGCACCCAACCTTTTTTTGAAGGAATGACAAAGTTCGTTTTACTTTTGTTGGGAACCCCAAAATCCCCAGGATGAAAAAATAAAATAAAATCTACACGATGCTATTCAATGCGGAGTCTTATCAAATTCCATCAAATATGTTAGAACTTCAGAGGTGTACTTGTGTTGCATTAGAATGAACAAGTGTTGGTAAACAAAAACTACAACGGTCACTATACAACTCCCCACTCTTCACAAAGCAGAATTTAATTACTCGATTTTAATTGTATCTTTACTTTTGTGAACAGCCATGGAACTAAAATGTTATCCTGGCATACTTTTACCAGTACGAGACAACGAACTTGAATTTAAAGGTAAGTAAAATATTAAATGTTAAATCGTACTACCTGACAAACGTTATATACATGTACATTTTGTATATATGTCTAGACTCTGGATTATAAAAAATACCGGTTAGAATACGAATGGATATAGAGAGTTCGTCCTCGAGACAGCAACCAAACGAAAGAAATAACTAATAGTTTATCTAAAACATAAGGGTAAACTCGCATTGAATAAAGTTGAGAATGGAAATGGGGAATGTGTCAAAGAGACAACAACCCGACCATAGAGCAAACAACAAGTTCAGGGCTGAAAAGGAAAATTTAAAGACGTGCGTGTACGTAATAACAGAAATCAAGAAAAAGTCGCAAAGACAAAAAATGATTAAAAATGTTCCGTGAAAATAAATTGTGAAGACGTCAATGAGATAAAAATGGGTAATCAAAGATACCAGGCTTACTATTTTAGTACACAAGAAGCGCTTTTTATCTGCACAAGGTTACCTACAAACGATCAGAGCATAAATTTGACATATGTCCCTAAAAATTAATCTGAACTTTACGATACTGATGATACTAGTACAGGGATGCAATATTTGGATAAAAAGAATGTGTATAAGTCCATAAGTATTGTGCTGTAACTTGAATAGGAGAATCAAAATTATAATATATAACGAATGGGTCTTCTGTTGGTAATTATGGTATTAAGTCAAACATTCAAATACTATATACTTCCCTGTTAGATTACATTGCATTTTCTTTTTCTAGTTTCGTATTTTAGATCAAATAAATATTTCCCTAGTTTGGATTATGCATAGTTATTTTGACATAAGTAATAGTTTGCGTGAAAATCATGATCATTCATCAATTCAAATTGTATAATTTTATAGGATGACGAGGGTAATTCACAGAGGCGGACTTCACATGTGTGAAAATATTGGAAATTTCTGTAAACATTGCAAAATTGTGACAATAGTTTTTGTAAAAATATGTTTATGTCTTATTTACTTGAACAATAGACCGAACAAAGATAATTTTGGTCTAACAATACTTAATTATATGACATTTGTTTTTTTTTTATATATTTCAAACTTCATATACTTTATAACACTAAGATATAGCATGACCAGCACGTGTGCTATAAACGAACATGAAACTATTGAAGCAACCATGTTTATAATCAGTTTAAGTATGATTGGTGTTACTCAGTCATTCTGTAGTGTTTTGTTTCATTATTTATGGACTTTGTTTGGTTTTTGTCATTTTACCTTTTTTTGCCAACAGCACTTATTCCGTCTGTCCATCCAAAACATATAAATGTGCATAGTTCGTGGAATGTGAAGCTCAAACAGTTTTTCTTCAGCATTGTTCAACCTTCGCATAGTGATCAAACACAGATCGAATATAAGCACCTCCTATTTTGGGCAGATTTTAATTAAGTTTTTAGGAGATTAACATAGTCCATGTTTTACAACAAATGCTAGAGGGCATCTAGTATGTGTCATGTAACTCCAAGAAGTTCCCTTCAGCATAATTTAATTTTGCATTTGGTGCAAAATGGATATTTTGTTCCTCAAAACTTTAGAAATTACTTAGCAGATTTTTTGCCCAATTGCGCTGAAACTTTTATTCGATGACACAAATATAAGCGCACACATGGTTTGCTTGGATCACTGGATATTAAGATAGAGTTATATATCTGTGTATTGCAGATCATTTGAATGTAAATAAATTTGGATAGTATAATTTATTTCGTAAAATACCCTTAAAGTAGTATACAAATCTTGTGTTAACTAGTTATAACTGCCTTCAGTGCTATAAAGATAAAACCATTATTTAGCCTGAGAATTGATGGCAAATCAATGCATATTATTGGTTGTACCTATGACAATCGATGAAACTATTATACCTGATTTTTTTACAATTTTATATGTCGCTTAAGGTTGTTCTTGAAAACAGCTGCAGCCTGCGACACAGATCCAGACACGGTATTGATCTTGTTTCCTTAATATAATAGTTTTTCTTTTCCTTTGACATAAATGTTGAATGCCCACTTTGAATATCTTCTTATTTTGTGTTATATGATTTTAGTTTATTGTCGTTTTTTTAATTGATTAAGACACTTGCACGTCACGTTTTACAATGACTTGCCTAACCATAAATAATACTTTTGAAAGTAAGCAAAGTATAAATCCATCCAATTTTCCAAAAGTGAAATAAAGTATTAGTTGTCTCAGCTACATTTATTTGAATGTTAAAATATGGTAAACCTTATCATTTTACTTGAAAAAGTTCGCTCAATTAATAACCAATCTTCTAGTTGTTATAAGTTTCCATCTATCAAAGGTTTAACTAGTTACATTTCGTACTATCACAATTATTGTATCCATATTATTTTTCGCACTTTCAATAATAATTCACAATGAAGTTTTGCAATAGTTTGACTTTCAGTTTTCAAATGATCTCGTTTATAGAATTTTGTTAACAAAAATAAAATTTTAAAAAGATTATTTTATTCTGTTTTGTATAATATAGGATCATTTATTGAATTTGGTTGTATGAATTATAGTACTGTTATTGACAGGCGAAGTGGTGGAACAGTAGTAATTTCTTTAGTTATGCACGTCCTTCAGTTTTCAGTTCAGTTCCTCGGAATGTTGAAGACATAACAAATGTATGCATCTACTTCTCGTTATTTAAACATTAAACTGGTTTCTTTTCATGAATATTTTAATCATCCCACCTACATGAAAGAATGAATGAAAACAATCAGTGATGTTTTCATTTAAAAAGATGATATCGTTTAATTTTTTTCTTCATTTTTGGCACCATTTTAATAATTATTTTTACAAGAAATTTTGGACAGACGCTTCGGATTTATCTATTTTCTTATTGCGATAGAAAAAAGCAACATTTCGGCTCCTAGTGTTGAAATACAAATACCAACATAAAATAAGTACACACAAAACTGCATGTGATGTTGTATTTATTCAATATCAACTAAATGAGAGAATAGTTTACTGCATTGACAAGTTGCTATACCAGCTTCAAGTTTTATCTCTATAATACCAATATAAACTGATAAAATTTATTTACTATATGCTCAAGTTAAAACATCATTGTGTACAGCATCTACTCTTATTTTTTTCACAAAAGTTAGTTTTTTTATTGTTCAATAATACTCATTTAAAACAGAAAAAGACGAATTTCTGACATTAAATTTTGCTATATTCCTATGGAAATGTGTGACTTCAAAATTATTTTTTTGTGGTTTGACGAAAAAAAACTTGAAAATGACAATGTAAAAAACCTAATTTTCGATTGTTAACCATTTAGCATGTCCTAAATTTATTCTATGTGTAACATCAATCAACCTCAAAGGTTTGTGGAAAATTTTTCAAAATAAATAGACTAAACAGTTATTTCCTTTCAGAAAAGGAGAATTTGACTGGTATGTGAAACGCAATGACAATTGTTTTAAACATTGGTCACCTCTTTTGATAAGGAACTTCAGCTGTTTTGATATCATTCAAACGAAATATTTTGTATTATTACTTGACAATCGTAGCTAATTTAAGCTGAACGAGAAGCTTTATAACAGGTTTGAGATATTCTTTGTTTTTAACCTTCCCTCTTTTCCTTTAAGGCTTTGAATAATCAATTTGAAGTTAAACTTAGAATCAATTTAGTATGAATTAAGAAGACAAGTTGTTTGTGAATCTGTATATGAATGAAGATCTTTTAATTTCGTCCATAATCTGCAAATTTCCATCTAAAAAGTAAACAACAAAAATACCGAAGTCCAAGGAAAATACAAAACAGAATGTCACTTAACAATTGTCATATTCAAAAGCTCAAACACAGCAAACGAATGGAAAACAACTGTCATATTCCTGACTTGGTACAGATATTTCCTTATGTAGAAAATGGTGGATTTAACCTGGTTTTAAAGCTAGCTTAACCTCTTACTTGTAAGACAGTCGCAAAAAATTCCATTATATTGACAACAATGTGTGAGCAAAACAAACACACATAATAGGTAAAAATGTCAAAAATAGGGGTACAGCAGTCAGCATTGTATTATAATCTCAATCACTATAAAAACAGACAAATATGTCAACAAAGAAAAACAAAATGGCATATAGACAAAGTATATACGAAAGAATGAAACACAAGAATACAAAAAATGACCACAGCACAACAACAAAATGGCGGGATGTACAAGTACCGAGCCAATTTGTATTAATCAGTCAATAGCATATTACTTTTCATTGGGGGTTTTCTGTTTCATTCTGTTCTTTTTGATTTCCTTTATCATTGTGCATATATGTAACACTCAGAAATATGTCCACGCCCCCTCCACCCCCCCCCCCCCCCCCAACGTGTCCGATTCCCCCGAACGTGTCCATATGACGTCACTGAACTCCGAAACATGTCTAGTTGTTTTAGAGCGTTATAGGGCTCCAAAGCGTGTCCCTTTTATGAACGCCCAATCGTTTACTTTTTTTAATTTTAAACGCCCAAACGTGTCCAATCCCCCCAAACGTTTCCATATGAGGCCAAAACATCTCCCTTTTATAAACGCTCAATTGTGTCCATATATTAAAGTTTTCTGTGCCACGGGCCGATTTTAGGCCGACTTGTAAATACTACGTTGACTGCCACGGGCCGATTTTCGGTCGATATGTTTTTTCCTTACGTCGAACAATAGGCTTCAATGACGTTGCCGCTTTTGTGTACTATGGGAGTGGCTACACAGACGAAGAACTGCGCCGTAACAAAACGTAACGTAATGCATGCAAAGTGCCTTCAAATTTTCATTTATAGTTGCGTCGGCCGTACTTTTATGGATTACGCAGTTTTTAATTTGTTTTCATTTTATGGACTTTCTGCTGATAAGTTTTTCATTTTTGTTTTATATAATAAAAAAAAACATATTACAGAAATGGAGAAATTTCACTAATTAATGAGAGCAGTCGAAATGTGAAATTACTGAAACCAATTTTGATGCGCTGTATGTGCACGTTTCATCAAATAATGAATCCTCAGTAGTGCTCCGGATTATGGAATTATAAAACAACAAGCCTAAAACATTCGGAGAGCGAATTCAAATACCAGAATGACTGAAAAAATCAAGCTAAGTTGAGTAATTTAAAGTGCTTGTCGTGATCCTACAGAGCCATCTTTGTGGGAGGGTGGGGATTTGATGCATTATCAACCATTTATTCATGTAAGTGTAGTGGGTTGTCTTATGTTCTCACGTCTCCATTCTAAAACAAAACCTGGTATTACAATAAAAACATTTTTTTTAAGAAACAAGGAATATATTTTTAGCTCAACTGGCCCAAAAGGGCCAAGTGAGCTTTTCTCATCACTTGGCGTCCGTCGTCCGTCGTCGTTGTCGTCCGTTAACTTTAACAAAAATCTTCTCCTACTGGTCCAAATTAAACCAAACTTAGCCTAAATTATACTTAGGGTATCTAGTTAAAAAGCGGGATCCGATGACACCGCTCATCAACCAAGATGTCCGTCATGGCTAAAAATAGAACTTGCGGTAAAATGCAGTTTTTTGCTTATATCTCTGAAACTAAAGCATTTAGAGCAAATCTGAGAGTAATAAAAATATTCATCAGGTTAAGATCTATCTGCCCTGAAATTTTCAGACAAATCAGACAATCCATAGATGGGTTGCTGCCCCTGAATTGGTAATTTTAAGAAGATTTTTCAGTTTTTGGTTACTATATTGAATATTATTATAGATAGAGAAACAGCAGTAATGTTCTGCAAAGTAAGATCTACAAATGAGTCAAACATGAAAAAAATTGTCAATTGACCCCTTTAGGAGTTATTGCCCTTTGTAGTCAATTTTTGACAATTTTTTGTAAATTTCTGTAATCTTTTAAAAAAATCTTCTCCTCTGAAACTATTGAGACAAATTTAACCAAATTTGGCAACAATCATCATTAGGGTATCTAGTTTAAAAAATGTATCCGATGACCCCGCCTACCAACCAACATGGCCGACATGGCTAAAAATAGAACATAGTGGTAAAATGCAAGTTTTGTCTATAATTATTTGAACCGTTATTAATATTTGAAAGGAGAAAAAATGTTCAGAATAATGAGCTCTACCAATTGTCCATATACGTCAAAACTGTTAGACAAATTCTTATAGGTGTTATTGCCCATTAATGACAAATTTCACCTTTTTTTCAGTTTTGCCTATTATCATGAAAACTATGATATTTAGAGAGAAACATTTTTTTTCTGTTATGCCTTATATGATTTAAATTATAATAGATATATCAACACTTTAAATCACAAAATTTATCAGCATGGCAAGATCTATTAAAGAGTCAAATTTTGCCGATAAAGTTAGTAGACTGTGACTCTACATATGAGTGATTGCCCTTAAATGAGGATTTTTCCCCCTCTTTTGTTTTTTGAGCAAAAACTAAAGAAGATAGAGAGAAACTAAACAGACTAAAAGATCAGTAATACAAGATCAACAAAATAGAGATTTTTGTCATGAAGTCTTTTCTCGTCTACAATGTTGGAGAGTGTCCTTTGTTTGATATGCACATAGACCAAGGTGAGCGACACAGGCTCTTTAGGGCCTCTAGTTATAAGGATTCCAAACACAAATGATTATCTTGACAATCCCGGAGCACCCCCTTTCTGCATACTCGAGAAACTGTCCTACTCCTCCAGCTGCCCCCGTAACCATTCCTGTCTGAACATACATCACAATATTTCTCGATGACCAGGCAACTTCCTGATTCCGTTTTTTTATTTTGTCTTTTGTCTTGGTTTTTGCTTCTTTGCATCATGTGGACTTTGGCGAGTTCCTCAATAAGCTTTTGCGTGAAAGCCAATCTTGACAGTTTAGGCTTATCCGATGTATTTTGTTGGTATAAAATATATGCATTGATAACCATTCGATGCATGAGATTAGAAACTACCTTTTCCCCACCTTTTAAAGTTTTCTGTCCATCATTATAACTCTCTGTCATCAAATCAGCCAAATCTACGCCCCCCATAAATTTGAAGATACAAGTTGAACGGGTTATCTACCATTTCGTTCTTTATAAGCACAAAGAAGAATAATTCTTGTCTAAAATTGTCTAAAATAAACAGATTCCTTTCCCTGCTAAACAGGATTCTTTATTGAATTTGGGATTTGACGATTAACGCGTTAAGTTTCAGTAAAAAATGTGCCTTTGGTTAAAAGCTCTTAAGCCAGGTTGATGGAGGATAAAAAAAATAGTGTTACCCATCATTGAATTGCCGTAAACGCCATTGACGTCACGGAGGACATATATTATCGGTAAACATTTTTTAGACGTTCTGGCGTTTTAAAGTGGGCACGTTTTGGCGAATAACAATTATCGGACACATTTTTAGGAGGTGAAATCGGACACGTTTTAGCGATTTGGGATTTTAAGGATACGTTTGGGCGAAATAGACACGTTTGGGTGTATCGGACACGTTTGAGGGGAAGGACACGTT